GGCCTCCCAAAGTGCTGGGATTACAGCAGTGAGCCACTGTGTCCAGTTCATTGTGTGTCTTTTAAGTAGAGCATTTAGGCCAGGCGTCCCCAAACTACGGCCCGCGGGCCGCATGCGGCCCCCTGAGGCCATTTATCCGGCCCCCCGCCACACTTCAGGAAGGGGCACCTCTTTCATTGGTGGTCAGTGAGAGGAGCACAGTATGTGGCGGCCCTCCAACGGTCTGAGGGACAGTGAACTCGTCCCTGTGTAAGAAGTTTGGGGACGCCTGATTTAGGCCATTTACATTCAGCGTTAATATTGAGTTGTGAGGTACTGTTCTATTCGTCATGGTAGTTGTCTCCTGGATACCTTTTTTTTATTTGCACTGTGATATTGTTTCATAGGCCCTGTGAAGTTTATGCTTTAAGAAGGTTCTTCTATTTAGTTGTAATTTGAATTTTTGTTTCAAGATTTAGAACTCATTTTAGCATTTCTTATAGTGCTGGCTTGGTAGTGGCAAATTCCCTCAGCAGTTGTCTGAAAATGACTGTATCTTTCCTTCATTTGTGAATCTTAGTTTCACTGGACACAAAATTCTTCGCTGATAATTAGTTTAACGAGGCTGAAGATAAGACCCCAATCCCTTCTGGCTTGTAGGACTTCTGCTGAGAAATCTGCTGTTAATTTGATGGGTTTTCTTTTATGGGTTACCTAATGCTTTTGCCTCACAGCTTTCAAGATTCTTTCCTTTGTCTTTAGATGACTTGATGACTATATGCCTAGGTGGTGATCTTTTTGCAATGAATTTCCTGAGTGTTCTTCCAGCATTTTTATATGGATGTCTAGATGTCTAGCAAGACCAGCAAAGTTTTCAATTATTCCCTCAAATAGGTTTTCCAAACTTTTTGATTTCTCTTCTTCCTCAGGAACATCAGTTATTCTTATATTTGGTTGTTTAACATAATCCGAAATTTCTTGGAGGCTTTGTCCATTTTTTTGGTTCTTTTTTCTTTTGTCGTTGTTGGATTAGGTTAATTTGAAAGCCTTGTCTTTGAGCTTTGAAGTTCTTTTTTTCTACTTGTTCTAGTCCGTTGTTGAAATTTCACTGTGGATTTTGCGTTTCTCAAGTGTGTCTTTTCATTTCCAGAAGTTTGATTGTCTTTTCTTTGTAATATCTGTTTCTCTAGAGTCTTTAAATTTTTTTTTAGGTTGGTTTTCACCTTTCTCCGGTACTTCCTTGATTAGCTTAATAATCAACCTTCTGAATTCTTTATCTGGCAATTCAGAGATTTCTTCTTGGTTTGGATTCGTTACCGGAGAGCTGGTGTGATCGATCTATTGGAGGTGCCATAGAAGCTTGTTTTGTCATATTACCAGAATTCGTTTTCTGATTTTTTTCTCATTTTGGTAGCCTATTTCATTGAAAAGATCTGGAACCCAAGGACTGCTGTTCAGATTATTTTGTCCAATGGGGTGATCCCTTGCTGGGTGCTCTTCCTCTAAGGATAAGGCTTCTTGAGAGCTGAACTGCAGTAGTTGTGCCCTTCTGGGTGTAGCCACCCAGTGGGGCTACTGGGCTCCAGGCTGGTGCTGGGGAACGTCTGCAGAGAGTCCTGTGATGTGATCTGTCTTTAGGTCTCTGAGCTGTGGATACCAGCCCCTGCTTTGGTGGAGGTGGCAGGAGAGTGAAGTGGACTCTGTAGGAGTCCCTGGTTGTATTTTTGTTTAGTACACTGGTTTTCTTGAATGCTAGCAGTGAAGTTGTCATGTGGACAGACTCAGGATCTCTGGTTAGCAAAGATGTTGCAGGCGATGGAATTGGCTGTTGTTTTCCCCTTCTTTGGAGCAGGGTTGTTCTGTTATGAGTTTCTGTAATGGCTTGAGTTGGTTGGCCTTCAGTGAGGAGGTGGTGCTTTCAAGAAAGCAACAGCTGTGGTAGTATAGGGGGGATACAAGCTTGTCCTACATTGGCCAGGTTAAGTGTTCGGGTTTCTTAGGTGATGGGAAGGGCCATAGAACTCCCAAGAGTTTATGTCTTTTGTCTTTGGCTACCAGGGTGGGTAGAGAAAAACCATCAAGTTGGGGCAGAATTAGGTGGGTCCGAGTCAGACTCTCCTTGGGTGGGGCTTGCTGTGGCCACTGTGGGGGATTCAGGGTGGTTCTCAAGTCAATGGCGTTATGTTGCCAGGGCGATTTGCCTTTTCTGTCTCATGTAGACTGCCAGGAAAGTAGGGGAAAGCCAGCAGTGACAGGCCTCACCCAACTGCCACACAGCCAGCAAGGCTAGTTTCACTCCCATCATGCCCTGCATTTATATCCACCATGGTGAGCAGGGCAGAGATCTTGACCCAGGCTACAAGCCTCCCTGCTGAGAAAGCAAGCAGGCCTCTCAGGCCTTGCCCCTCCCTACCTGCCTGCACCTTCGGCTGTGGCTGCTCAGGAAAATTTGTGCTCAGTTGAAATTATTATAGAGTTCAGCTAGAAGCTTCCTTCACCCTGTGTCCCCTCCCAAATCTGCTGGCTGACTTTTCTTCCCCAAGGACCCCTGTGAGTTAAAGCCAGAGATGACTTTCCTGGGCTCGAGCTGGGAACCAGGAGTGCCCACACGGCTCTTCCTGCTGCTGCTTCTACTTTTATAGTTTGCTCAGCTCTAAATCCGTTTCGGCTCTAGGTAAGGTTAAATCCTTCTCCTGTGATCTGAATTTTTCAGGTTCCCCAGTGGGGATGTTTGTTCAGAGGCAGACTTTTTCCCCTCTCACACTTTGGGAACTCACACTTTTTTGACTGTCTTGTGGAGTTTGCAGCAGCAAGCCACTTCTTTCAAAGGGTTTGTGAATTCTTTTGGTTTTCCTGGTATGTTCCTGTGGTGGTTCTTGGAGCAAATGTTCACAGTGTGAGTCTCTACATGCTGTTCTGTCCATCCAAGGAGGGTCTGCACATTAGTCCTGTCCCTATCTGCCATTTTCCTGGAAGGTTTCGTTCTATTTATCCTTTTGAATTTATGTAGTTTAAAATTATGAGTTAAACAGTGGCAAGTCCTACTCATCACTTATCTGACCAACTAGTTACCCTATCTGGAGGCAGGCAGTGCTACCAAAATTGTGTGGCCTTTGAAAAGTCTTTCATAAACAGACATATTGCAACTCCTCCCACCCCACCCCTTTTTACACTAGTGGTAGCATGCTTTATACATGTTCTGTTTTCTGTTTTGCCTGTCTTGGAGATTATTACATATTGGCTTACAAAGACCTTCCTTGCTCCTTTTTTTCCCCCTGAATAACTGCATGTATTTCACTTTAGCTATATAATATCATTACTAAACTGGATCACCACTAGTGGTCACTTATGTTTGCAAATTTTTGCTAGCAGGGAATCACCGGTTGAAAGGATTAATGTGTCTGTGCTTTTTGTTAGATGGAAGTGAATTGCCATCCATAGCTTGTATTCACTTACCCTTCTGTCAGCAGTGTGTGCAGGTGTCTGTTTCCCTGCATACCTGGTTCATCATACTTTTTCTCTCACAGTTAAAGTGTTATGTCATTGAAGTATGTGTGTGTATATGTAAACATTTTTGGTAAAGGTTGTGTGTAGTTGTTTTCATTTCTGAATCATCTTCCATCATCTGTATGTGTGTGGAAAAAAGTTTATATCTCTATTCTACTCTATTATTTTTTTCTTTTTCTTTCTTATTTTGGAGACAAAAACTTGCTCTGTCACCCAGGCTAGAGTATAGTAGCATAATCATGGCTCACTGCAACCTCTGCTCCTGGGCTCAGGTGATCCTCCCACCTCAGTCTCCCGAGTAACTGGGACTACAGGCATGTGCCAGCATGCTTGGCTAATTTTTTTTTTTTTAATTATTTATTTTTTAAAAATGTGTGTGTGTGTGTGTGTGTGTGTGTGTGTGTGTGTGTGTGTGTGTGTGTGTTTTTCCCCTGCCATCTCTGTGCTATGTTATTCAGGCTGGTGTAGAACTCCTGGGTTAGATGGAACCAAATTGCCATCAATTCCGTCAATTCCGTCTGGAGCTCCATCCAACTCCTGGGATTACAGGCATGAGCCACCATACCCAGCCTCTGTTCTACTCTCAGTGGACATTTGGATATTATCAGTTTGTAGCTAATAGGAAAAGTGCCACTATGAACATCTTATACATGTCTTTTGATGACCATATATATGCCTAACAGTTACATATCTAGGAATAGAATTGTGGAGTGGTTAGGTATGAATATGTTCAGCTTTGAAAGATGTACTCATAACATTTTCAAAGTGGTTTTGCCAGCTCAGCCTCCACTGTCAATGGGTATGAGTGCCTTTACATCCCAGCAGAATTTCATTACACTCACTCTGGTGAGTGTGTAGTGGTATCTTGTAATGTTAATTTGTATTTCCTTCAGCAAATGAATTTGAGCATCTTTTAAAATGTTTATTGGCCATTTTGGATAACTTCTTTTGTGAGGTACTTGTTCAAGTTTTTTGTCTGTTTTTCTGTGGGGATTCTGTCTTTTTCTTAATTGTAAGTTTCTATTTTTGATGTGTGTTTTTTGTCAGGTATTATGCTTTGCAAATATCTCCTCCCTTTCTGAGGAAATCTTTCAAGGCTGATAGTGTGATTGAAAATAACTGGTAGTGGAGCTCCTTGGTTGCAGTAGTCATGGAGGATCTGTAGAGGCTGACTTGCCATCTGATATGTCTGAATGACAGTGATGAGCCATTGAAGTGCTTGATGGTGACTTGTCCAGGCAGAGGGAACAGCATGAACAAAGCCCAGGGAAGGACAAAGCTTGGCATGTTTGGGCACAGAAAGAAAGCCAAGGTGGGAGGGAAGAAAGAGGTGGCAAGAAGAAATAAAGATAATCAGAATCTCTTTTCATTGCTCTGTGGGAGAGAAAGGCTTTAGATTTGTCATTCATCCACTGCTGTGTAGGACAGTTGCTTCTCGTGACTCTGCGGTCTTTGAGTCTCTTTTGCTTTGGGAGACTGAAACATAATGTTTCTTTCTGTCCTTTGTCCTGCAGGTGTGGTGGACACAGGCCTGTTCATCAACATGGCTGAGAGAGTCTACTTCGGGATGCAGGATGGCTCAGTTAACATGAGGGAGAAGCCTTTCTCTTGACCCTGCGAGGAGCAGAGTGTGTTCATCTTGAGTCTCCAGCCCACAGCCAAGGTGGACGTACCTCTCTAGGAGCCTTTGCCTTAATGTATCTCTGCCAGGGTGGACAACTGGTTGTGAGGGACAGGGTAGGGGAGTGGGAGGGGAAGTTAAATTCGGTCTTATGAAGTATTGTTATTAAATGTCTTTTTAAAAAGAGAAATATAAACATATATTTTTACTATTAAAATACTCAGTTTTTTAAAATAAAGTAGAACTTGATTTCATGTTTTATATGAAACATTTACAAAAAAAAAAAAAAAAGGAGAGGTGGACTGTCTTTAAAACCGTTGACTTGAATCTGCTGGTAAAAGCTTCTGAATATTAGGTTTGCTGAGAAATAGAAATCAAAACTTCTTTAAGCTGATAAAATGAGGGGCTCAGCCAGCAGTGATTTCCTGATGCCTTACTGGAAACTTTGTTTACTTGTCTGCTGTCTTCTGTTTTGTTTTTAGTTAGTTTTCACTGTGAGCACACATAATACCTGGTTACATCTTAAGATCAGATTTACAAAACTGTGGAGTGGAGCGGTGTAGTATGGAATGACTTGAGAGTATAAACTATTGGGAAGAAAATGTGGTTATACTCTTGCTAAGATCTGGGGGTTTCTTCATATCCCTGCTGTTGGAAGAAATTGATCAGAAATGCTTGCCAGTACTGCCAAAGCACTGCTGTGAAATGTGAAGTACTTGTTTGATTTTTTAATGATTTACTTTTTGTTGTTAATATTTTTCTCTGTTACTTCTTGCATGGTTTGGTGTCAGAAGCCCTTACCTCTTTATATTGTTTGCAGGTTGAAATAAAACAGTGTGGTGCCATTTTGACTCTTTTGTCTTTACTTTAGAATTTGAATTTGAATGGCCACAGAAGGAAAGCCAAGACGGACGGGAATCAGTTTTGCCCACCCAGTGTATATCAGATCTGTATGGGGTGGAATTCACTCAAGAAATCTTAAACCAAAGAATGGGTAAATATTTCCATTATTTCTGGGAAAACTATCTTCCAGATATGTCAGTTATCTAAGGAAATATTCTATAGCCCTTTGTCAGGCAAGGTATTAATTTTCTTTGTTCATGAAGGCTAATACAGATGAACAAAAGTCACAGATTATCTCCACATTTTATGTTAGTCAAAACTTCTTTAGTTATGGAAGCTGATAATCAGCAAAACAGGTAACCTGAATTTCCTCATTAGCGCCCCCAACTCTAATCTGTAGTTTGCTTAATAAACAGTCAACTCTCCGAAAAGAGCCTCGTAGGGAAAGGAAAGGCCTGACCAGCTCAGTGAGCATTCTAGACGAGGCTCAAAGGAATCCATCCTCTTGTTAAAAGGTCGTGATGCTGAGAGCCCTGATTTCTACTTGAAACAGTCATTTCTCTCAGTTTACCCTCTATTTTGAAGCTTGGATAATAACGATCAGACTTGTTGGCATCTGAATTCTTGCTAAATCAAGTTGCAGAATAAAAGTTAATCAGGAGAGAAAGCATTATAGATGCTTATTTCTTTCAGAGTTCCCTCTGCACTCTCAAAGTACTCTTTAAAAGTAGTTGCCTTACATATTGTTAAGAGTGCTTTATTTTTCTTTTATTTGGTTTGGGTTATAATTTTTACACAAAATGGGCATTATATCTTAGCTGAGAAATCTTGATAAAACTAATTTTTGAAATAATCCTTTAAAGGTCTTGTGGCATGGATTAAATTTAGGAATAAAGATAAACAACAAAGTTAAGCTGAATTTCTGAAAAACACCTGCATGCACCACATCACATGTAAATTTTCTGTGGGTTTCATAAGCATTCGCACCTGTGACGGATCTGCAGTTCCTTTGAATGTCAATGTTAGGTTTTCCTTCTCTTGAAGAAAACAAAACACCTATGTTTTAGGCACACATACAGCAAGGTACATTTTGACTAAAGATTCTTCATTAAAACTCATTAAATGTGATCTTTCTGGAGAGTTAGATGGAATAAGTTAGAAAAATAATTTTTTTCATGTGACCCACATGCCAGTACATGTGATTAATGATGAATCTCAGGGGCAAGGGTGAGCTGCAAATTTTTTTTTTGGGAAATGTTTATAACCAAGGTATGCAGTCACACTTTGGGAAGTATCAAAGGAGGAAAATCACTCTGATTTGAATAAAATCTGTTCAGTTTGGTTTCAGCTACAGCTTCTCATTAAGTTTTTATATTCTTCATTGATCAAACTGTTTGAGCTTCCATCATTGGCCAATTCCTAGTGGGCACTAGTGGGAGGGGGAGGATGGGACACAGATGGTTAAGATCTGCCTGTGCTCCACGGGCTTCCAGCCTGGTGAGCCTGACAGGAATGATGAACTGGAGGAAGACGGTGGGCAGGTGGGCAAGAGATGGGCTCTGAGTGGGGAAAGTGGTTGACAGGTGACTCTGGTGACAGCTTCCTACGTGCAGTCTTTGCTGGCTTTGACTCCATCAAAGCACTTTTATTTAATGTTAAATAAACTGTCAGCTTATGGCAGAGAAACAGGTCTGAATAGGATAAGTCACTTGTCACAGACAGAGCTAGTAAGTGGCTGAGCCAGCCCCGGAACCCCTGCTCTTCAGGTTGGAGGTTTTGTACTGTCTGGGAGGATACTCTTATGTTGGTCTTAAGAAGTGCCAGAGATGGTGTGTTGCAACTTTTTATGGGAAAATTCTTATGGAGGCAGGCGACTTTCACAGAAAAGCTAATTTTGGAGTAATCATTCCAAGATGTTACCTTTCATTTCAGGGGCAGTGCTTTGCTTTGATGTACTATTTTTATTGAACTATTATATTTCAGTAGTTTCAACCTTTTATCCTGAAGTGGCAAGGAGGGGAAGCGGGGAGCTATGGTATTTGAACCTGAATTTTTGCTAGGCACTATTTGGGTTTTTCCATTGTTACCTCATGTCACCTTTACAGTGTTTGTTCTTTTTTAAAAAATTTATTTTATTTTATTTTTTACCAGGGGAGAGCATGAACGCAGTCTCCCACTACCACAAATTATGCAGTCGGGTTTCCCACATTTGCGGAAATCGCAGGGGGTCAGCACATCCGGAGTGCAATGGATAAGCCTCGCCCTCGGAAAACCACCTTCGTGATTATGGTATCTTCCGTGCCAGGTGTTAGTTCTTTTAATTTGCCGAGTGAGAAACAGAGGCTTAGTTTAAGTAACTTGTTCAGGTCACACACTGGAAAGCAAGCCAGACTTCTCTGGTTCTAGGCCTTGTTCCTACTTCAAGGTGGTTATAGGGCTTTGAATAGTTTGTGTTCCTTAATTGTGTCCATCAGTTGTAACTTGAGTAACAAGTAATTTGTTAAAGTACTGGAGTTAGTGAATGGTTGGGTTGTGTGTGTAGGCTCATGGTTAATCCTAAGATGATCAATTTCTGTCATCTTTAGTAGGAGGAAGGAGTAGAACATTGCGTATAGTCTTGGGTGGGCCACAGGATAGTGGCCTTTGTAGAAGTCATCTTTATTTGTCACTCTGGAATGGAACATGACAACCATTGCTTTCTCTCTTCCATTATCTGTTTTCATTTTCCTCCTTTCTCCCTGTGATTTAGGCACAGTGGCTACCAGAGGCATTGCTAGTCTGCGAAGGGGCATTTATGGCTGAGGACTGTCAATTCCGTTTAGCCAAAGATCATTCAGAACACACACACAGTTGAACAAAGTTGGATTTACCCGTTGAATAAGGGAAATTACATGCCATGGGCAGCTGCAGTTATCTCAGCCTTAGAACTTAGAGAGTTTAGGCTCAAGGAAACAGAGCTTAGCTCTGGATTGGATGCCGTCAGGAAGCAGGGCTAATATAACTGGATATCTTAACTGTTCTTACCTGGAAGGCAAGAAGAGTGGAGTGAGCCTAAAGCTACCATTGGTAAAGAAGGAAGTTATTCATTAGTGATGTTGGGCAATTTTTGTGATGTGGACAATGTTTGTCTGTGTGATTATGGTCTTGTTTTTGTCTTCATCCATTAGTCACAGACTGGCCTTGTCTGGTGTTGATATTGTGTGAAATTGTGTTCCACACAAGAACGTCATGGCTTGGCTGTGGGTGCCAGGCCAGCTTATAGCAATACTGAAGTCTGACTGATAGAGCTAGACCAGCTTCCAGCTGTTAAGGGCGACATTGCTCTCTCTCTGAAGATATGGCAGAATCCCCTCGGATTCCAGAGGGCCTGGGCATTCTATAAACAACTCTTTCACCCTTTCACTGACACTGAGTTTGTCAGTCCCTTTGACTAACTGATATTGAGCACTTGTGTGTACCTAGCACTGGGGTGTAGGAGTCAGGTCCCAGATACCCCAAGATGTCACCAGATTTCGTTGATGCCATGACAACCATTTCTTGTGACTTGCTTCTCAGATGCCTGACTTTGCTCACTTCCTGTCACACTTAGTAGCTGAACCTGCCAGATTTAGGATTGCATCAGCCTTCACTCTCCACTAACCCAGTAATCAGATGAGCTGAGGTTTTAAACATAGGTTCAATGCCTTTGCTTTTTTAGTAACTGGGTTGTATTGCATGGCAGCAAAACACTCCAATATAGCCTAGTATTCAAATGTGCCCAAGTTGGCCTCAGCAAATAAACATCTGTAATGGTGTTTTGAGAGGGATGGAAGTGTGACAGTTCACATGGCTGGTGCAGTGGAGGCAGAATCCAAAGAGTGAAAGAAAAGACTTCCCGGGAAAGGAAAGCCTGCTGTCTTCGGACAATGCATTATATAGATGAATAAGATCAGTGCTGAAACCACATTCTATTACATCCAATCACTGATAATTGATGTCTGCTCAGCAGCAAGGTGGGAGAGGAAGCAGCTCTGTCGGAACTGAAGTCCTGGCTGGTTGCATCTCGTTCAGCCTCAACCCAGTGGCAATAATATCTCTGAATGCTCCCTGATTGCGGAGAGAATACATTTTGAGGGTTCCCAGGTTTGGGGGTTTTCCAACTTGAGTTTCAAATAGGGGAATGGCGTGCATCCTCCTTTATTTCAGAAACTGTTCTCAGTGAAGGGTGAGACCAGTTTCCAGTCACCAGTGAGTTTTGAAGTTTCGAGGGCTCGGTTCTCTGGGCTTAGCTGCATCTGGCCCCTGTGCCTCTGTGCCAGTGGTGCTGCCACTGGGTTCTTTGTGAACCCATGAGAAGCACTCAAAAGGCGAGAGCCCACAGGGAGCTGGGCCCAGGGCAGCAGAGGTGTGAACAGGAACAGCAATGCCTGATAGAAATGCCAGCCACGTAGTCTTAAATGTTCTAGTCTCCATACTGGAAAAGTTAAACAGGCAAAATTCATTTTATAGTAAAATACTTTATTTAACAAAATATCTAAAATATTACTACTTTAACCCATAAGGATTATTTCATGTTTTTTCCTTGAAGTCTTCAAAATGCCATGTGTACTTAACTTCGGCACATCTCGTTTTGAATTGGCCACTTTCCAAGTGCTCCGTGGTCACTCGTGGTGAGTGTCTACGGCATCGGAGAACACAGAGCTAGAATTCAAGAGGGACGTGCATAGTCCCATTCTGACTTATTAAGGCTCTCATTTCTTGGAGCAAGTCTGGAGTTCTGTAGTCTTATGATGTTTCCAGAACCCACAGAGAGTTGAGTCAATCGGAAAGCTACCCCAGGGAGGTCCACTCGATAGCCTCAATTTGAACTGAAACCTTCATCTGTGCTTCCAGCATATGACATTTTGACCTTGTAAGTGACCTTAACTCCAGGAAAAAAGAAGCCCATCCTTTCAGGTTAAATGAATATTTTGGTTTCAATATACTGTTCTTTTTGCTTTTTTTCTGAAAAAGATTAAGTTTGATGAAGACAGTAACCTAAGTTTGAAATTCCATTCTCCTACTTCCTAGCTTTTGGAGGACATCGTTCCACCTGAAAGCCTCAATTTCCTCCTTGTAAAATGGCTATAAATAATAGTATCTGTTAGCATTTTTTTGAAGAGTAAATGAACTAATTCATACCAAAAATATAAAAAATTACTTGTATACAAAACACTTGTTATATTTTATTTTATTTTATTTTTTTTAAAGAATAAAGAAGAGGAAGAAAGAGGAAGAGGGAGAGAGAATGGGGGTATTGCTTTGTTGCCCGGGCTAGAATGCAGTCCAAATATGGGTATGCCTATAATTGTCCTTAATAATGGAGACATGAAATAAAATGAGGGAAGAGAGTAACAAACAAGGAGCCAACCAACATTTTGTTTAAACTTCTAAGTTGATATGATGTGGTACTGATGAGAGTGTATATTTTGTGTAAAGTGGAGAGTTCTATAAATGTTAATTATGTTTACTTGTTCCAGATCTGAGTTCAAGTCCTGGATATCGTTGTTAATTTTCTGTCTCATTGATCTGTCTAAGATTAATGTTGAAGTCTCCCACTATTATTATGTGGGAGTCTAAGTCTCTTTGTAAGTCTTGTATGACTGGGTATTCCTGTATTGGGTGCGTGTGTATTTAGGACCTTTAACTCTTCTTGTTGTTGCATTGATTCTTTTATCATTATATAATGTCCTTCTTTGCTTCTTTTGATCTTTGTTGCTTTAAATACTATTTTATCAGAGGCAAAAATTGTAACTTCTGCTTTTTATTTATTTTTGCTCTCTAGTTGGTTGGTAAGTCTCTCTCTATCCCTTGTTTTGAGTCTTTGTGTATCGTTGAATGTGTAATGGGTCTGGATGCAGCATACAGTTTTAGTTTTTTGTCCAAATTGCCTGTCTTTGAATTGGGGAATTTAGTCAATTTAAATTTAGAATTAATAGATATATGTGAGTTTAATACTGTCATTTAATATTAGCTGGCTATTTTGCCCATTAGTTGATGTAAATTCTTCATTGTATTGATGTTCTTTACTTTTTGGTATTTTTTAGAAAGGCTAATACTGTTTGTTCCTTTCTATGTGTAGTGGTTCTTTCAGAAGCTCTTGTAAAGCAGGCCTGGTGGTGATGAATTCTCTGAGTGCTTGCTTGTTCACAAAGAACTTTATTTTTCCTTCACTTATGAAGCTTAGTTTGGCTGGATGTGAAATTCTTGGTTGAAAATTCTTTTCTTTAAGGATGTTGAATATTGGTCCCCACTCTCTTCTGGCTTGTAGGGTTTCTGCTGAGAGATCTGCTGTGAGTCTGATAGGCTTCCCTTTGTGGGTAACCTGACCTTTCTCTCTGGCTGCCCTTAGTATTTTCTCCTTCATTTCAACCCTGGTGAATCTGACGATTATGTGCCTTGGAGTTGCTCTTCTTGGGGAATATCTCTGTGGTGTTCTCTGTATTACCTGGAGTTGAATATTATCCTGCCTTACTAGGTTGGGAAAATTTTCCTGAATAATATCCTGAAGCATATTTTCCAGCTTGGATTCATTCTCTTCGTCACATTCAGGTACACCTATCAGGCGTAGATTAGGTCTTTTCACATAGTCCCATATTTCTTGGAGACTTTGCTCATTCCTTTTTATCCTTTTTTCTCTAATCTTATCTTCTTGTTTTATTTCATTAAGTTGGTCTTCGACCTCTGATATCCTTTCTTCTGCTTGATCAATTCGGCTGTTAAAACTTGTGCATACTTCACGTAGTTCTCGTATTGTGTTTTTCAGTTCCATCAATTCACTTATTTTCCTCTCTAAATTTTGTATTCTTGTTGACATTTCGTCAAACCTTTTTTCAAAGTTCTTAGTTTCTTTAGATTGTGTTAGAACAAGTTCTTTTAATTCACAGAAGTTTCTTATTATCCACGTTTTGAAGCCTGCTTCTGTAATTGGAACCCACTCGTTCTCCATCAAGCCTTGTTTCGTTGCTGATGAAGAACTGGGATCCCCTGCTGAGGAAGAGGCGTTCTGATCTTGGGTATTCTCAGCCTTTTTTGACTGTTTTCTTCCCTTCGTTGTAGATTTATCCATCTGTGGTCTTTATAATTACCGTCTTTGTAATTGGGTTTCTGAGTGGACGTCCAACTTATTGATTCTCAGCGCCGAAATCTGAGCAACCCACTGCGCCGACCAAATCAGCGGCGTTAAGATTGATGGTGCTTTTCTGACTCTGCACCAGGAACCGACGCTCTGATGCGCCGGCAAAACCGCCTCGCCGGTCACAAGAGTCGCGCTGGCGACCCGTGGGGCTCCTC